CACTCTTTCCTCTCTGCTGTACCTGTTCCAGTGATGTGCACACCTGCCTCACACTCTTTCCTCTCTGCTGTACCTGTTCCAGTGATGTGCACACCCGCCTCACACTCTCCCCCCCTCTGCTGTACCTAGCCTTTTCTTACATAGGAAAAGTTACCAGTGAGGGGAGGCCTGTGTAGTAGTTAGTAGCTAATTGAACGCAGGGTCTCTTCCAGCTGTTTCTTAAAGGAATCCAGGATACAAGACTTCAATAACATGGCTGGGTAACTTGTCCCTAACTCACTCAGCCCCTTGCGTGAAGACGCGTCTCCTGGTCTGAGTCTTCTTCCACGTTTCTTCTTGTAGCCTCTGGTTCAGGTTTGCCCTGATCATTCTGAAGCTGAAGAAGGGAGCTGGGCTGACTTTGCATATGAGGAATTTGTATAGTTGTAGAACGTTAAATTCTAAGCAGAGAGGAAATACTCAATTGCTGCATGTTCCATCCCCAGCACCACCTAAACCTGCTGGGAGCCGGGAGAGCCGGGAGAGCTTGGACAGCAAGGCTGGTTAGCCGTGACCTTTAACCCCCAGTGCACTGAGGCCCAGCTCGCAGCTCCATCTGGCTCCCCCATCAAGCAGCCTTCGCCTTCCCTCTTCCCTCTTCCTTCTTCTCAGGCTGCCTCTCCGGCATGCTGCAGCGCCCCCGACACTTCTCCGACTTCCGGATGAGAGTTGAGTCGCGTCTCGGCCCCGGTGCTCACACTTACCTATAGCTTTGGTATAGTGCCGTGCCCCGAGCAGCAGTTCTGGGGCCCGGTACCAGAATGTGACTACGACAGGATCCAGGTCGGCTAAAGGCTTCAGCGGTGAGTTAAAGAGCCGAGCAAAGCCCATGTCAGCTGCAGGGGAAGACAGACAAAGAGCCCTTAACAAGACTATCCAACAGATCGGCACACAGCCAGTCCTGCAGCACGACGGGTAAAGGTCAAGCCTTAAAGACCCTCTCTGCCATGTCTCTCCAAGTGCACCCAGAGCAACAACGCAGAAAACCACACAGGCTTCGGTAGTAAAGATTACCTCTCACGAGAGCTGTATTCTTCACCACACCAAAGACCGGACGAAGTTAAAAAGAGCATTACCTATCTTGACTCTCCCTCTCTCTGGGCCTTCTCCCATCACAAGAATGTTAGCAGGTTTCTGTGGGAGACGGAGAGCAGGTTAGAGCAGTGGATGTGCAGCCCTGTCACACCGGCTGACAGCCTTGTATCGGCCTTGCTTGTGCTTCCACTACCAGGCCAGACACACCCTGATCTGAACCCAGAACCAAAACCAGTCATAGCCCACCTGCAAACATAACAACTCTTATCAATCCTGGCTCCAGTCCCTGACACAATCCACACAAGCCCCTGGAATCCACTTTTCTCCCCTTCTGCGCCTCCGTCGTTACTTCTATTAACATTTCTATGGAACCAGAAAGCACCGTTAAAAGGGGCGAGACTTTAAAACGCCTCTGGTGCGCGCAGCGGGTTATCACAGCAGGACCTCAATTCCTACCGCGTGACACCAATCCCGCCGAGACTCACCTTAGCCCGAGTGGCTGAGTGCTGCCGCGATGTGTCGAAGGGATTGGGGACGATCGGCACATGGCTGGAGGAACACAGGTCCTCGGTAACGGGGGCAGAATATTCCCAGACGGATAGTCGGGGATGGATATCATGTGGCACACATTTCAAGCCCCCCAGCCCTTGTAAATAATAATACAGAGCTTTCCTGGACACTCCACTAAAAGCTCTTTACAGGGAATGGGGATCTCCTCCACCACCACCAGTGTGTAGGGCCAGTACGCTCCCCATACACCAGCTCTCAGTGGGGAGGAGGACAGAGTGACGAAGCCAGTTCACGGATGGGGATTATTAGGAGGCCATGACTGGTAAAGGCACGAGGATAACACCCCCTGCTCTTCAGGGTAAAATCCAGGACTCAACGGGCCATAGACAACTAGAAAAACGCACGCTGTAGGCGACTCCCAATCAGAATCAAGTAGCGACCCCTGGAGATTTCGGGATTTCGAACCCTTGTGAACACTACAGCGTCACAGCAACTGTAGCTGGTTTTAAACAAAGCAAAGCCTACTATTAGACAACCTGACCTGATTCCGATGAGTTTAAAACAAGCGTCTAACTTTGTGTTTTGCCGCGGGCCTTGGAGGTTTCGAACCCCTTTTCATGCTTTGTTCCTTAACACAACTCTGTCCATGGGCCCCCGGGCACTTTAAAGCACCCCGTCTCGTGTCAGGGGAGCCGTGCAGAATTGCCCTGCCATGAACACCTCCCCGGAGCAGCTGTCTGAGAGCATCACCAAAGCTGAATACTTGCTGCTGCCCACACCTTCACAGCCCTGCCCTCGGAGTGCTGCACCAGCAGCCCCAACGCACAGGAGGAGGCCGAGAAGTTCATTCACCTGTTGAATTGAGTAGGAACATCCACCCCAACCCCCTTTTTATTCCCATAGTCACTGAAGAAAAATAGGGCCGTTATCCAGGATAATTACTCTAAAACTAGGATCACACCTTCCACCATCTCGGCTAATTTCATCGTAAAACCCCTCCATTCATTTACAGATTTTTCACACTTCTCATGGAATCCATCCCCCAGATTTCCATTCGTTAGGACACTTTTTCTCACCTGGCAGGCCGCCCCTGCTCACCGAACTCCTCCTTTGGTCTCTTGAGCTTCAAATCCCAGCAGCTCTCCCTGTGTTTCTACTCTCTGCTTCCCTGAGCGGAGTCGAACTAGGCCTTTTCCTTTGCAGCCAACACATACTGACCCAGCCCGGTTCGCAATCAGAAATCGGACTTCTCGCATGGGTAACTAATAAACAAACCACAAAATCTCATCTCATCTCAAAGGCTGACCTGTTCCGAGTATTAAAAACTCAGTTGAAAATCAACAGCAACTTCCGGCATTTACTGGGACAAACTGTGCATCCTGCGTAACCCAAACCACCCATTCGTTCTACAGTCTTGCTTTTAATTCTGTGCTGCAAAGCACTCTGGGGCAGCACTGCATCGACAAATCTTATATTAGATAATATTAGATTTATTCCATTTTGCATTACACCATCCTATTTTTTCCTCAAGAAGCTGTTTGCAGGTGACAATTCTCACATTCAAGAAAGCGCCATTTTCCCACGTCTCCTTGGACGTCTCCTTCCTGCCACAGTTTCTGCAATGGCAGGTGTACGACAACATACGCCAAGACACAGGGAAGTGTTTCTGTTTCAAAGGCATTCCAGAAAAGGCGCATGGTTCTCCATTAGGGAGCAGCAGTGTTTTATTTGTAGACTTACAGCATTTGCAGGGAATTCACAGGCTAGAGGCAGGCTGCTGGGGAATTTTCTCCTTTGCAGCAGTGTAGGCAATGTTGGGCCCCCCACTGCAGGAGACTGCTAGCAGAAATCTTGGCTAAAGCACAATAAACAACCAGAAGATCTGCGTGACCCATTCAATCGCACCCCTGCAGAGTGTGGGTCCCACTCTGCCCCCATGAGACTTCAGCAGAAAACACACTGACATTTCCGCAGCGATGACATCACATTCTTGCATTATTTGCTGTGGTGCTTGTTGATATCTTGTTTACTTCGTTATCCTGGTCTGGACTGGGCCACTTTATCGTGCGATCCGATCTGCTGTACCAGACAGGCTTACCAAGAGTTTCGGCACTCAAAAAGCCTGAAACAACGGAGGTTTTGATTAACCGATAAGAATCTTTTTTTAGCACATTTCATCTGAAGGAGAAAAAAAAAAGCCCCACAGGGCAGCACAGTGCTGAAGCTTCACATAACAGGTACCAGGTGTTCAAAGATTTGCGGAATTGACTTTAATCCCTAAAAACCAAACCTGCCAGCCTGCTCCTGACCCCAGATGGTGCAAGAAGAGATTAAATCTCCTCTCAGCCCCCAAACAGAGGGGACAGAGTTCCGAAATCTCCAGTTTTGCTACTTACCAAAGGCATTCTCTCCCCCCTCTGAGTTTCAACATCAAATAAAAGGAACAAAATCAATTGGGCTTGATTGCTTCGATGGTGAAAGAGCGAGAAATGTTCTCCAGAGAAGAAATGGAAGGAAGTCTATTAAATGCCTCTTTTCTCTGATGACAATTGCACTGCTATTTTCATGACAAAGCGCCTCGGCAATCAGTGAGCCTGTAGTACTGGAAGCCAGGGTTCTCTCACCTGGTGGGCTTCAGGACAATGCTGCAGCTCAATCCTCTGAAAGACCCCCTCCCTCTCACCATGTCCTTCTCCTTCTCTCCAAGGTGCCCTTAGCCTCTGATCCCAGCAACAGCGGGACGGAAAGTGAATTAGAGACCAAGACGTATCAAGCGGTGCGATGAATCCATCTTTATTGCCTGGCAAACCATCCCAGAGACCTTCAGAGACCCCCACCAGGCAGCTCACGCCCAGAATGACGGGGGATCACCTGTGCGGTGACTGGTATGGAATGAGATATTCCTTATGGTTCCTAGCAGATGCCCTAGAGCGTGTTCTGAATTGGACAGTTTCCTAAAAAAACAGGTAAACCTCAGATTGCTGGCTCAGGCTACATTCATGCCTATCACAATTATATTGTAAGGTTGACGGGAGAAACTTGCACAGTAAAAATCTTTTAGATTTTAGAAGAGGACCGAGCGTTTGGCTCCTGAAGAGTGTAATCAGCCGGAATTTGTTTTCGATCAGTGGTGTATGTCTGTACAGCACAAATTTGCAAACATGCTTGAATATGTGCAAGCATGTGGTTTTATAACCCTAGAGGACTGCCAGGGAACAATTTTGTTTTATGACAAAGCCACAAAGCAACATGCCAAAAAATTGCAGCCATTAGCATTTAGATTGTTGATTAAATCTGGCAAAGCTCCTGCAATGATTTTTTTTTTCTCCATTCCTCTAAAGGAGTGCAGCCGCCACGATTTAATAAGGATTGAAATGTCACCTGAGTCCAGGCTCATTGTGGGGAAAGGGCACCAGCTCCTCTGCAGCATTACCCCCCTGGCGACTACCCAGGAACCAGACCCCGCCATCGCTCCAAACAGTCCTTTTAGATAGGTGACAGACGACACCCTCTCAGCACTGACAAAATCATCAAAACCACACGCTTCAAGCATCTACAGCACAGGGAAGAGATCGCGGCTGAACAAAACTGGATTAGATAAAAATAGGGATTGAGAATTAAGATCCTCAAACTCTACTTAAACAGCCTCTCACAGAAATCCATGTGCAATGGCGTCTGCCCTGTGTCCTTCAAGAGTCCGGAGCAGTCAGGGTAATGGATACCCACCTTCTTAATCTGGACACTTGGCGCGCAGGGGGTATGTTGTGCTTATTCCTAAAAAGGTGTGCACACAATGGCTAAAAGAATTTCCTTTACTACGGGAGTATTAGAAGACCCAGGAATGAAGTCATTTGCTCAGAAATGTTTAGGGGAAAAAAAAAAGATTTCCCAGCAGGAGTCAGATATTCCCGACTTGAGCACAGGACGCCCAATTCCACTCACCCCTTGAGGGATCGCGGCCACAGTCGGTTAGCGACACAACCCTGGCTCAAACCCCTGAGCAGCTCATGCTCAGGCGTGCGCCTTCCCCAGCTGCGACGCGCACGAGGCCCTCAGACTCAGTTCGGAAGGCCCACGGGAGACCGTTCAGGCTGAATCCGAAAAAAAGCAGCACCGCATCGATCCTGTTTAACGCAGGGTGAGGAAGCGTCAGCAAGCCTCCGAGGTTCTTGAGATCAAAGATCCGGCCACACCCCCTTACGAAAACAAGGAAATGGGTCGAACACACGGGCTCGAGAAATGTGTCCAAACACTAGGACTCAGTGGGTCTCGCGAGCAGCTGCACTCCAGGATACTGGACTAATACTGTTCCCGGTCAAGTGAGAGATCTAGCGACAGATTCCCATTGACAGATCCCCAGAAGAAGAGATCTGGGGATCTGTCACTCTGAATGAAGTATTTTCCATGCAGCTGGCAAGAGCAGAGCGACACTCGGAGAGCCCACAGCACTGGTATTCCAGCCCGCGCGGATGCAGCATAAGGCCGTTATGGAGAGCGTCCTCAAAATCCTGCTCTTTTGGTCAAAGACCTCTACACTGTGAAATGCCTGGAAAAACAAAGAGAACACCTGAAGCCTCCAGCAGGCGAAGCTCTGCTCCCAGAAGCTCTCCCCTCCCGTCCCGCCTGCGGGCGGAACCCGGCACTCCCACTGCACAGCGGCCTGAGCCCCTCCAGATTTTACCAGCGGCAGGCTTTTCCCCACACACACACACACACCCACCCACCAGGTGCTGGATGTCCTCCGCTTATTAAACTTGCATAAGAAAACACATGGGAACTAAAATAATATTAAAGACAACACTGGCCTTTGTGTTTCACAAACCCCTGGTTACGGGGGGGGGCTGCTAGAAACTCTTAATCCTGAATGAACAGCCAGGGCTCGCGTGAGGCAGTCTGGGCACAGGAAAACGCAGAGGGATTACTTTAGCGCTCAAGCCTTTATTAGGGTTTAGAGGAAAGAAAGAGCCACACACACACACCGATTCAGACGCAGGCCCACATCTGTCTGGCACCGTTAGCTGCATGCACACACACACACACAATCACCTAGCTCCTAATATAATTTCACAAATAAATTAAAAAATTATTTACAAGGGCATGACTGCTTAAAAAAAACAAACAGCATCTAAGACGAATATTTTCCCTGTCAGGGTTTTCAGAATCACTATGCCTGTTTTAACATCTATTTACTGTTCCTCACGGTAAAACCCACCAGGACGTGAGCTCTCAAGGAAAGTGAAAACGACACAAGGAGCAGGGCTCTTTATTGGTAAGCAAGCCGGCTACACACTACGCTATTTGAACGAAGCCCTCCGACTCATAATCCAGCTCTGGCTGCTCCTCGATATCGCTCTCCCCCCCCTCTCTCTCTGAGAAATATCTGGTCGCACAATCCGGGTATCAGATACGGGCAGACACGAGGATGAACGCAGAGCACTCTGCGGGGACAGACACCGAGCAGCAGAGACGCAGGGCTGGACACGAAGCTGATTCTGCCTCATCACACGTCGCCTCGGACTGCGGGACCGCCGCCCGCTTCCGAACTCCAGCTGAGAGTTCGTATTCCCGCCGGCGACCTATGTCAAATCGAGCCTTTTTTTTTGGGGGGCATTTTTCCCCATCCAGGATCATGCTTTCTTTAAATGCGTCTCACAACGACAAATGCCCCAAATGGAAGCTTTTGTTTTTGTGTTTGCACATCAGATTGGCCCCCTTCAGCCCATCTAAACTGATTAGTAATTAAGAGCTAAATGATCCAGGGATCTCATCCATCTGTTTCCTGAAAGAAGCCAGGGTATCGGCTTAAGACAAGAGAAGATAAGGCTCGAAGGACAGCATCTTGGGGCGGTGGGGCGGCTCTGTGGCTGAGGATCTGCGCCTGTGGCTGGAAGGCTGCCGGTTCATATCCCACAACCGGCAGAGGAATCCTACTCCATTGGGCCCCCTGAGCAAGGCCCTTCACCCCAACTGACCCATAGTTTCTCTCCCTGTCTGTGTCTCTCATGGGGTATGCAAAAAGACAAATTCCTACTAAAGAAATTGTATATGGCCAATCAAGTGATCTCATCTGATCTTCTGGCCTGAGCTGTGTAACTACATTTACTGATTTAGTGAGCGTTGCACCTAGCCACACCCCACCCGCAAAGTTTTTTGCGGCAGCAGATGATTTCGAAATTAAAATTCCCGGCTGGATTGAGGTGCGAGTTCCGTTTTCCTTCCGGGCTCGCAGTGCCCCGGGGCACACTCACCAGGTCCCTGTGCAGAACCCAGTTGGCGTGCAGGTAGTGGATGCCATCCAGGATCTGGTACAGCAGCGACTTCACCATCCCGCGCGGCAGCTGCAGGGGCTTCTTGTTGGCCTTGGACGCCCTGTGGAACTTGATGATGTGCTACGAGGGGGGGGGGGGGGGGGGTCAGGGAACAGAAGAGGAGACGCGTTACAGACAAGGAAGGGGGCCCCACCCAGACCATTCAACACAGGGGGGCCCCCACACACCCGCTGGTTTTTGTTCCAGCCGAAGCCTCCATTACACAATCAAACCCTTCATTGACTTCATAGCAATTAAATTAATTTGAGCTGTCTGTTCCCAGCTCTCAAACGTGCTGGAGCTTTAACTGTATTCAGCTGGATTTTTTTTTTAAGGGAAATAAAATCCCAAACTTTCCAAAAATTGGAAAATGCAACTTCTCCAATGGTGCAACCTTCCAGATCAACCGAGTCTTTAATTATCCAACGTGTGCGGATTGGGAGCCCCTGCTTCAGATCATGTGGCTAGCTTGGCATTGGCCGCGGCCGTGCGAGGGGTCGGGGGTCGGGGGTCAGGGGTCAAATCTCCACACACTAATGGTTTTCTGTGCATCACATCCATTCCTTTCATGACTGCTCCTTGCAACCCCCCCTGACCTTCTGAAACCCTGCAAGGGTGTGACAAAGAAAAACAAAACCACTTGCTGACCTGCATCTTCGAAATATCAGGAAAGCAGCCAGAAACGTACACTACAAATGCCACCGGGAGCCAAGTGAGACAGTCAGACGGTTATTTCCCTGAGCTCTGGCAAACATTCATTGCTGCACCATCACGGAAGGTAAAATCAGACCCCAGCTGCGCACAAAAGCACAGTTACAGACCCTCCAGTAACAAAGCGATTCCTCACTCTGGAATTAACCTTCGCAGACAACACTCGCCGACCCAGCTCCCCACTCGGACCTTAACACAATGCATTCCTCAACCAAAAGCATTTTCATTAATAATGAATTATTGCTTGCACTTGTGAGACGCTTTTCATCACAAAGGATCCCAAAGCACCTTTATGAGGAGAAGGGCAGTGCTGGGAGGCCCAGCCTTCCTATCTCCTCTGCTCGTTATGTGTATTTAACCTCAGCTCGCAGTCCGCTTGGTGCCAGATCCAAGGTCCACAGCTGCAATGGCATGACCTGTCATGGCCGGGACAGCTTGTTATACAAAAAAAACTAACTTGAGAGAGCAAACGGTGAACGGGCCTGCTCAAGTAATCTCCGAGAGGGTGTCGGCTCTGCTCCCCCCCTCCTCCTCTCTGCACAGTGGCAAAAACAGCCACTTAAAGAGCCTGGTGGTGGTGGGGGGGGGGGGGTATTGCAGGCAATTAGCTGAAAGACAACCCCTAAAACAGGGCTTCCCAGCTCCAGACCTCCCCTGGGGTCCGGAGTACAGCAGGTTTTATATTTCCATAAATCTGTCCCATCAGAGCTCAACTGGATCAATGTCGCCCTTATGCCAGATGAAGATGCAGTGCTCATTACAATTTAGGGAGATACAGAAAGCCTGCTAGATTCTGGACCCAGGAAAACATGAGCTGTGATCCACAGCTAATGGGTTTTCCTCTGTCCATTCAGGATGCCTCGCAGAGTTCACTGAAGCGCAGTGTCACAGCGGCGCAGGCCTCACCCAGAGGTCGTGCTCGGCGTAGTCGAACAGAAGCCACACTTTCCTGTCAGCGTGGGACAGGAACACCTTCTGCAGGGAGATGACATTGGGGTGCTTCAGCTCTCTCAAGAGCTGCACAGAGAAAACAGACACAGAGTTAAACCCCCGCGAAAGCTACGAGACATTACAGAACAGACTGGTTTTTCCAACATGTGTCCTTCTTCAGAGGAAAGTGGAAGTATGTAGGATTCTGCTGCAAGTCTAGTCATTTAGGCAGCTTAGCTTGAAGTGGCTGCCAAGGCAAAAGAGTCTGGTCCAGAACACAGAGCATTCTGTTTTTATACTCACTGCAATTTCTCTGCAAGCAGACATGGATATTCCAGTGCCTTCTATCTGTTTTAAAGCGTAGTCTTTGTCATCTTTCCTGAAAAATGCAATCGAAAAGAAAAAAAGCACTTTAATTCATCAGCGCAAGGGCCTAGTCAGAGGTCATGAACCCTCACACATGAGTCATTTATGATGCAACCGAACATTCATCAAACCAGATCTGTCTGCAGGTTTTAGTTCCAACTCCAACTAACCTTAATTGGCTTAACTGGACCAATTATAGAACCTCTCTGAGCTCTTCAGATGGGAAGAATTTAAAATATGCAGGAGCTGAGCTGTACCAGACTGCCGTACAAAGCCTCTTTGCAGGTGGCTGTAGTGTCTGCAGCCACTATCCAGGAAGACGCAGCTACAACACGTTTACACACTCCTGCCATTTTGAAAGGACTGTTAAGTGGAAAAGGGCATTTTACCCTATTTTGTGAAATAAAAAAACATTACAGACAGGTCAAGGTGGAAGCCTGAACTGAAGGTCTATTCTAACCCAGCCCGTGGGAAAAGTTATCACTTATGAATAGTAGCTTTTTTACTGCAGTTTCCTTTAGAAATTGTGATGTCTGGCCCCGAGGCAGCACGAACAGTAAAACAACAACTGCCACTTGTCACGCAAACCCCTGAAAACTCTAACAGCATTGCTCTTATTAAACACACTGCATAACACAGCAAAACAAATTTACAAGGAGCAGCAGTCCCAGGGCAGTGCGACCACAGAGGGCTTGTACTCAGAGGGCTTGTGGGTGCTGCCGTCCCCAGCCTGAGGCAGGGCCAGGCACCAGCTGAAATTGCAGCAGGAGGAAACAAGAAGGTCACAACACTCTGTGTGAAGAGCTCAGTAACGGGTGAAATGTTTTCCTTCACTTGCGCTGTCCGGGACGAATTCACTGCTACAAAAAAAAAAAAAAACACACATGAAAAGAAATAGATTGTTGTTCCTTTGTCCCGTAACAGCTGGGATTTGCTTGGAACAGCGTGCAATAACTAGGCGACCTCACAGCTCAGCAGAGAGGCTATCAGCAGTTACGATGTCTGTGCTATAATAAGTGGCTTAGCCTGTTTCAGGGAGGAAAACGCACTATGGCTCCAAATGGAGCTTCAATTGTAGCAATTTCAGACGCTGTGAGCCACAAGCTTTGGAATATAAGCTAGTACTGCCTATTTAATTCATGCAATTTTATAGTAAGTAATAAATGTATCAAGCAATTTAATTACAAATTAATTTTTGTAGTCAAGCAATTTGCAATCCTACAATATATCGTACATTTTATTTGTGAACGCTTTTGATCACATTAGAACAGAAACGTGCTTCGCGTTTGTGGCCATGAAGCAAATTTCCTTGGGCCCAGCATGTGCAAATTTCCAATCTTCTAGTTCTTCCCTTTTCTGTTCAAAGCTTGAAATGGCTTGCATTGCTTTGCAGGAAGGGCTCAATTTCCTGGGTCACGTTTAGTTCAGCCCTCCTCCATGAAGAGCAGCGAGCCGGACCGGAGGACAGTGGCTTCAGCAGGCCCTACTGGGTGCTGACTGCAACAAGGCTCTGCTTGCATCCGAACAGCTCAAATCAGAACACAGACAGCAATCTTACAGTGGAAGGGTCTGTAGCTCTAACTGCCTCAGAATAACTGAGACGCTGAAGTAGGTTCTGTAGTCCTTCAAAGCTGCAGTCTAATTGATTATTCCTTCCTCTGGTTCTGCACCACAAGTGGGGAGGGGGGGAGGTACCGAGCACACTGCAATTAAACACATGGTCACAATTACCAGGCCACTTACACTAGGGAGTGTCGCGGCCTTTAACATGCTGGTTTGTTAACGGCCAGCCTGAGCCAGGGAGGGAGCGGGTTCGAGAGAGCGGGGAGGAAGACAGGCAGGGCGGGGACGGCAGACGAGAGAGAACGAGGCAGAGAGAGACAAAGAGAGGGAGTGAAGAGAGAGAGAGAGAGAAGGCCGGGGAGAAAGAGAATGTGATTTGCAGCCTCATCCTGCCTGTGAATCTACTGTATGAAATGCGCTCTGTTCAACTGAGGTTTGCGCTTTATGTATGTAAATATATAAGTGTGTGATAAATATATATATATAGGTTATAAGAAGATGAAGAGGTGCGATGGGGCGAGTTAACATCAGGCACTACGGTGGAGGCGCTCTGCGTGTGACAGCAGTTCCACACAGAGCTGTGGGAAAACACCTCAAACCACCAGCACTGACTGAGCTGTGGAACAGGCCCTCGGCCCGCTCTCACAACGAGCCCCCAGCTCGAGCGCGCCAGAGCCTCCACCACATCCTGCCCGCTGGGCCCCGCGGAAAGGTTAGCACCAGGTAGCAACGTCTCCACCTGTGTGCCGCACAGCGCCGCAACGTCCCCGGCGCCCTCCCCCTCTTCAACAGAGGCAGCGGAGCCCCACCCCCCCGCCCTCCTCAGACGACCCCGAGGGGCAGCACACGTGCGGGTGACACTGCCGCCTGGAAGCCATCGCACCACTCCTGGGGCGCCTCTTGGCGACGGATCACCGGGGCCTGCTCGAGAGCTCCCGCAGGCCAGTTCCACGCAGGGGAAGGCATCCGGGACCCTCGGAAGGGAGTCGGCTTCGCGGTCCTGGGGGCTCGAGGTCTGCACCTGCTGCCCCATCCTACGAGACAGCCCGTGCGCTCACAGGCCAGCACCACCCAGGTCTCCAGCAGGGCTGCCGAGCTGCTGGGTTACTCTCGTGAAACATTCACTGCATTCGTGCTCCAAAGCATGCGTGCAAAACGTGCGTTTTTAAGAAAGGTACCGCCCTTAAGAAACTCATAATAATCAGCTATGTCCCCCACCATTGCCGCCAGGCATCGCAAAAGAATAAATGGAGCTTTTCTTCGCCCAGCCCTTTTTGCAAAAGTGCATAAGTGTATTAGTTCCTATTACCATAATCATGACTCACAAATGTGTTGCTAGTATTCCAGTTCAATGGAAACGACAAGCTGACTGAAGCCCACAGAAATGCAAACATGGGCTAGGAACTGCTTTCATATAAAGCATCAGGTAAAAACATTCACAACAAAGCGCGCCGACTGACTCGTTCCTTGTCATGTGGGCAAGAGCCGTCTAGACTATGAGACCCCTCCCCTCGAGTCTGTGCGAGATACAGGAGTGCACCACTGCATGGGTCTCCTCGCAGTCACCACACAAGGGTTCCCACGCACAGCTCCACCAACTCAAGAAGATAAGACGAGCTTCACAAGCGAGGCTAGTGCTACATGTGCTGCAGAGGTTAAAGGCTGGCTCTAAAGCAGCGGCGCCCCTCATACCTGCTGGGGTTCGTTCCACCCAAACCCTTAGCTACACAGTCAAACCCATCATTGGCTAAACAATAATACAGCTCCAACATGTTTAAAAACAAATGAACCTTGGCTCAAATCAAGCTTAACGGTCGCGCGGTGTAAGTGAAATCAAATCCCAACCTTGTGACTAGAAACAAAATGCAATTATTCAATTGAAACGTTTTTTTCAGATCAATGATCCAATGAAGGTGGGCTGGGACGAAACCCAGCAGGTATGTGTGGGTCACCAGGACCAGGACTGGACTGGACTGGACTGGACTGGACCAGGACGGAACCGCCGCTCTGCGGCATGGCGACAGGACGTTCTTCAGGCTGAAAAAGCAGAAGAACGCGCTGTCACAGAAGCACAGGGCCAGGCTGGAGCAGGCCCGTTTCACGGAAGGAGGGAACTGAGAGAGTTCATTCTGGCCCCTGTGGACTGTGCTGTCACAGCCCGGGCAAAGAGGGCCAGCGCAATTTCCTCTGGAGGGATGTCTGGAAAATCGTCGAGAAACATCTCTGCAAGCTGGCCTGGCGAGATTCGGAGTAGAAGCTCTTAAATCTACACCCCACCCCCCTCAACTTCCACCAAATAATAATATCACGGTAGAAAAGAAACAAACCCGATCTGAACCTGAATGAAAAAGAGCCTCAATAAAAATACTGCTTGTATTTTGTAACAGGCCAGATGTGCTGCAAAGTGCAGATTCACATTTACAGAAGAGCTAATGGAAGAAGAGAGTATAAACGAACAACTGCTGAAATACTTTGCACGCAAAGAGAGACCTTCCACCTTCCACCTTCCACACACACACACACCCGCCCTCAGCCACAGAGAGGAGTGCCAGCAGTCCTGAGAATCAGCAGCACGAAGGCCTAGGGGCTCTGTGGCAAACATACCTCTCTTTATTACTCTTAAAATAATCAGGGGGGTTAATGAGGGCTGCCTGCCCTCCACGGCATTTCAGAAATCCAGGCCTGCCGCTACAAACTGGAGCCCCATGGAGCTCCTTAAATTAAGAAGCACTATTCTGCCAAGCCCTCTGCAAAGCACCAGGGACAGGGGAGAAGAGCCCCATTGCCTCCGAGACCACCACGTCTCACTTACTTCTCCAATCTAAGATCCAATTATGTTTTGAGCTGGAAAGCGTCACACCTTCAACCAGAGCCCATAGGGTGAGGCTTTGGACTCGCGACTGAGAGGTTGTGGGTTCGAGTCCCCACGGCAACAGTGCTGCAATGCCCGGCTGTGTGAGTGGGGGCCAGTACTGTTGGGGGGGTCAATCCCAGCGAGGGATCAGCGTCCCATCTGGAGTTGGGGGCAGGGCGTCACATGCTCCCTCATCCACGTCACGCTGCAGACGTCGGGCTCCGGCCAATTCCCACCTTCAAACAGCACCTTTCTGAGGAGCAGCTCGGAAAAAATAAATCCGGCAGGTGCAGCTCAGCCCATAATTGGGTCCATTTCAGTTAACCGAGCGTCTATGTTGGAATGCGAAGAGAAAACTCTTCTATTGACTGAGCCGGCAATTTTCACCAGCGGTGGCTCATCAGTCACCATCACCAGTCACCTGAATTCTTTAACACGCTTTTATTCCAAGGTCCTGTGAAGCAGGCAAGACGGGGGACCATCACCACATGTCCTACAGCCCCTCCGCCTCTCTCTCCCCCTCTCGATGAGCAGAGCTCATGCTTCACACGCCTCCAAACCGGGTAAAAAAAACAGCAACAACCTCCTCTCTCCTC